TGTTATAATGAGGACAAAACTTAATCAACTCCTCAAATATCTCCGCATACTCGGCTACAGTTAAGTTACCCTGCTTCAACTCAAGGAACACAATTTCCTTCTTTCCACACACATCTTCTGGAAAATACTTCTCCAGAAATGTTTCCCTAAAAAGATCCCAAGTAACCACAATCTCATTCTCCTCAAACCTTTGGCGAGTATTACCCCACCAATCCTCAGCTTCCTCTTCGAGCATATGAGAGCCAAACTACACCTTTTGCGCATCTGAACAATTTATAACTCGAAAGATCTTCTCTATAGCTTTCAACCAAACTTGTGCTTTGTCAGGCTCATGGGTTCCCTTGAAAATTGGTGGATTATTCCTTTGAAACCTTCCCAAAGCACGGAACCCATCATCAGCATGGTTTCCAACATTCACACTGGCTTGAGGATTCTGCCCAATTGCTCCAGCCGACCTCGTCAAAGCCTCCGCAATCTCTTCGTCATTCCTACCTACAACCATCGTTCTTGATTCCCACAACAAACCTTCATTAGAACAACCATATTGATAGTGCTACACACACGTACCAAATGCAAATGGGGAATAAACACATTAATAACTTGGTCAACAGACCGACCTTCTATGATACCACTTAATGTAACACCCCCTTCTATACCCCCAAATAAACAATTAAATCACATAAGCACGTAATAAATTTCATCAGAGTAAATTAAAATATGGTATAAAAGAAGTATGCCACATCATTCACCAAAATAACATACAACACCTGCTCTATAAAAGACATGCAACAGTGGGGTAGTTCAACAGAGGAACTTAGTCCTACACTCACATCTCAATATTTAGAAATAAGCAGAAGGTTAAAACATTGAATTACTTCACATGTAATCATATAAATACATAATTCAGTTTGGTTCACAATATCATTCATGTTTACAAAACACTATCATCAGATACATACACAAAATGTATCCCAAAAGAATACTATACAAACCTAACTACCCGGTGCTACATATCAGAGCATAACCAACCAAAAGAATGAAGCTAAACTTCACAAAAGACCTCCAGCAACCTAATCTGAAATGCCTCATAGAGCATTATAAAACAACAGAAGGGTGAGAAATATTATCATAATACTCAAGGCATATAATTATATATACACAAGTATAGAACACATACATTTCACATTTCTCACCACAATTCATTCCAATCATCATATACATCACAATATATGTGTAAACAAACATGGATAATCACCAAGCACATTTCATCATGCATACATCCATAATTCTCAATTCAATACTTCACATAAAGGTATAATTTCATACAACAATACACATTAATCATGTGATTCAATGCAACTCATGCCATGTGGTACCAACACTTGTTATCATTTTTCGATTTTTACACTTAAACCGGGTCCACCCTTCTAGACCGATAACAATAAAAGTCCGTTCCCTAAGCTTTCAAACCTACCCTTCTAGGTTTGGGACAAGTCACTAGTCTCCACGAAACTAGCAAAAATTGCCTCTTGACTAAATAATGCATATGCAATCAACCACCAAATGCACTTAAGACCATTCTCGCATCTTAATCTCATGCATTCAAATAATTCATCACTCAAGAATTATAACATGATTGCACACACAACATATTCATATTCAATATCATCAATACATTTATCAAACAATGCACACATATTCACAATATGTTCTCATGAATTCTCAAACACAATCGCATACAAACAATATGCATTCACAACATAGTGCTCACGACAACAATTCAATAGTATTCATCATGCATTTTAATCAATTAAAATAATGCATTATATTTGTCAAAAGACCACATTTCATAATCAATTCCACAAATCTAGGATTCACGCCATACGGCTACCCACAACATATATTTCACAGTACACAATTACTCATTTCCAACAAGGATCAAACACAATCGAACAAAGAATCAACATGGAATGGGATCACAAGAAAGCCAAATGCTGTCACGCTTGCTGGCTTGCTCGCCTAGCGAGTCTATAGCGAATACTCGTTATCTGTTCGCCTAGCGAATCCTTCGCCACCTCACTCGCTACCAGCGAACCAGATCAAATGCATTCTGTCCAAGTCTAGGACCTCCCGCTAACTTATTCGCCCAGCGAGTTGCTTGCGAATGTTCGCGACCTGTTCGCCTAGCGAATATGCTAGCGAACGTCTGCGAACTCAGAAATTCCCACTGTCCAAAACTCTGAAACTCACCAAATCCACCCGATTCAGTCCCGACTCGTTCCCGCAGCCTTAGCTTAGCATTCCTCGACTAAACTCTACCACTTATTCTCATTTTCGACCGTTAAAACTCGGTTTCTATCGATTAAATCCACTTTTCCCTAAAATGGAAGTTGTAGAAAAACATCCAACAATCTAACCCAAGCATACATAATCATATACATTGACAAGATAAATGATATTTCACACCCTTACCTCGATTAAATCGATGCTTGAGAGTTGTTCTTGAGCTTTTCCAACTTTTCCTTCTTCTCCTTCTCTTTTCTCCTCTTTCTCCTTCTTTCTCTATTCTTTCTCTTATGTTTCTATCTTTCTCCTTTCTCTCCATTTTTCCTTTATATGTCTTTCCCTTATAATTCTCTCCAACATCTATTGATTCATTTAGCTAATCATACATTAATCAAACAATCCTTTTAAATCATTTAATTAATATAAATAATTAATTAGTGAAAATTGGGCTGTTACAGGTCTCAGGATCATGGACTTCCTTGGTTGTTCGTTGCGTATGTCAGTGATTGCCATGAAAACGACTCCACTAAGAAAGTCTCTTCTGAGTGAGATATTCATATCAAACTACGCGAGGAGTACACCTCGGTGCCCCATACTACGTGACCATCAATCATAGTTTTTTAGCGAAATGGTTAAAGGTTATAAATTAAGCTCACAATTGAAACCATTGAAACCAAAATGTCATTCTTAATTAAGCCCGACTCGCTTCCACATTCCAAACTTGTCTATACCTGAGTGAGTTATAAAAGTTGTTGTTTAAAGTGACAATAATCATCCTTTGTAATCGTTACTAATATTCTAAACTTGTTTGTGAAATTCATGTGTGCATGAGTACCTTGGTTTATGTGTGTTTTGTAAGATGAAATAGTTTATGAAACTTTATGTTGCAGCAAGCAGTTTGTGATGAGGACTGGAAAAAAAAGAAATAGGGATAATGAATTTAGTTTTTGGGAATGGGAAAAAGAAGAGTGTGTTTAAGAAAAACTTAAATGTAAATATATATATTTCATTTGTAAATAAAATCATAAAAGGTGAAGTGGCCTAGTGGTAAACTATTTTATACCTCATCAAGGTGATATTGCTTCAAATCTTAGCTAAAGGCAAAATTTTGGAATACTTATTGTTTCAATTACCTTGATGATGAACCCCACGTGTACGAACAATTGTCATGCGTGCAAAAATAGATACCGTTTGTGAAAATTAGATGGGAAAGACTTAAATGACGTTGTTTGAAAACATCAAGACTACATTAGTATTTTTAAAAACTTAATGGACCAAAATATATCCCGGAGTAAAGTTAAAGAACTAAAAAGGACGTTTTGCCAAAATAAATTACACCTTCGATACCTAGTTATTAATCTAATATTCAATGTTGTTTAATCAATAAAAATATATTTATATTAGATATTAATATTTATTGAAACCTATATTTTATATTCTATCTACATCTCTCCTCGTCTCTTTCTAATATTACACCTCTATTTTCGTATAACATGTTCAAACAAAAAATATATATTTTATTTTTAAAACAATTATAAAATCTATTTAATCAACTAATATAAATTATTAGGCAAATACATGACTTTTTGTTTTAAATTTAATAAAATACAATTGAAAAACAAGTAATTTAGTTTTCAAACAAATATTTTAATTTAACATATATATATATATATATATATATATATATATATATATATATATATATATATATATATATATATATATATATATATATATATATATATATATATATATATATATATATATATATATATATATATATATATATATATATATATATATATATATATATATATATATATATATATATATATATATATATATATATATATATATATATATATATATATATATATATATATATATATATATATATATATATATATATATATATATATATATATATATATATATATATATATATATATATATATATATATATATATATATATATATATATATATATATATATATATATATATATATATATATATATATATATATATATATATATATATATATATATATATATATATATATATATATATATATATATATATATATATATATATATATATATATATATATATATATATATATATATATATATATATATATATATATATATATATATATATATATTATCTCTCTTAATTTAATTATGATATAAAATATAAGATTAAATATATTTTTGATCTTATAAATATCTTAAATTTCGTTTTTAGATCCCTTAAATTTTTTTGTGGAAGTTTTAGTTTCCCCAATATTTTTCTTTATCTTACCAATTTTTGACATTTTTCTATTTATGGAAAAGACTTACCAAAACCAAACTGTGTGCAAGGAATAAAATTGGTCGGAAAAAACCAATGAAAATCCAAAAATTTTCAAAAAAAAAGCTTACATAACGGAATGTGATTTTTAAAATATTTATATGGAATAATAAATTATTTAACCCTTAATTATATATTTTATAAAGGGTGGAAGTATTTTTCTCTCCTTAAATGAATAGCTTTTATACTTTATAGATAATCTAGAAGGGAGATTACAATCCATAGTTAATTATAATCTAGAAGGAAAATTACAATCTAATTTGAAATTTCAATGGATAAGACCCAAATCTCTCACATTCAATACAACTATAAATACCCTGCCACATTGGTATTTCTTCATCATAAAAACACATATCCCTAATAATGGCACACAAAGAATTTGCATCATCTTTTCCCTCAAATTCCAACCCCTCGAACTCCAACAATGATTCCTCGGGAAACAACCCTAATGTGTTTCCTACACACTCAAACAACCCTTTTTCCATGATGGGAGGCAACAATGAGTTCACGGTTTCTTTCACCCCCACCAATACCAACAACAATGACACATTGGTGATGCCACAACCATCATCTGACAGAAATATGGATCTCCCTCAAGATCCACCAGAGGACCTTACCAAATCTTCTTCCAGAAAGCGAATGGGTAGACCCTTGGGGTCTAAGAACAAGCCCAAAACACGCATCATTATCGAGGAAGACACACAAACATTCACAGAACTTGTAGGACTTGAGATCCCAATAGGAGAAGATGTTGTGGAGACCATAATCAAATTTGCTCAACAACGTCAAGCTAACATAACAGTGTCGAGGGGTTTCGGTCTTATCTCTAACGTTACCCTTCTTGATCCAATATCTCGTGTCCCATTATTACCCATCGAAGGACCCGTACATATGACATCTTTATTTGGAACCTATATAAATCCAAAATGTCAATGTACTCCTCCACAATACATAACTCACCTTCCATGTTCCTCTTTTACCGTATACTTATCTAGTCCTAATGGATATGTGTTTGGTGCAGTTGTTGGTGGAAAAATTACTGCTGCTAGTGTTATTCTGATTAATGCTACTCTTACTAGAAAAATTGCGTTCCATAAAACTGTCACAACCAATAGAAATGTTTGAGCCCTTGAAGAAGGTGAACCAATACATGTTAATGGTGTCATCACAAATATTAGCAACTGAATTATCAACTTCTCTCTCGCTATCTTCCACCTTATAGAAATGTTATTATGATAATTTCATGTAATGGATCTACTCCAATTACTCTCTTAGATAATCAAAACTCTTATGTGATCCCTTTTGTTGTTTTAGTCCCTTAAAAATTTGAATAAAATAAATTTAATTTCTTGTTTTTATGTTTTTCTTTAAGTTAAAATAAGTTTTAATCATATATCAAATATTTTTACATTGTTTTCTGTTCTAGAACTGTAACCTCAAAAACAAATATTTTATAAACTGAACTTGCTTTTATTTAATTAAATAAAATGACATTAATAATCATTTTACATCAATCGCAAGAATATTTAATTATATAAGACTAAACTATATAATTTAATTTAAAAATTTAAAAAAAAAAATCAAAGTTTAACAAATTCATTGATACTACTAAATAACCCATTTCAAAATTTTAAAAGTAAAATCATGAGAAAATGTTTCATTCTATTTTATATGTTAAATAACATGTATAAAGATAATAAATTATAAATTATATGTAAATGACAAAGCTATTATTCCAAAAGAAATTACATTTACTTTTAAAGTAAATAATAAATATTCAGATGAATCTTTTTAGTGTTATAAATAAATAAATTATTAAATTTTTTATTTAATGTAATATTCCTCTTTATGTATTTTATTTAGTATTATATTTTAATCTTTTATATTATCGAGAAAAAGTAAAGTTTTTGTGTCATATTTCGATGATTTTCGGCTCCCATCCAAGATACAAATTGTAAAATATGTTTCAAAATTAGTTTATTATATTATATTATCTCATCTAGTATTAAATTGAAATAAAATATATAGTTATCAAATTTTGTTTTTTTTTATAATTTAAAGGAATATTACACAGATATTTAATTATAATATTTTAAAATATAAAATTATAACAGTATTTTAAAAATAAAAATGTGATATGACGAGATACACATTTGTTATTAGTTAAAAGTATAAAAATATTTTAAGTGTCAGTTTATTATATTTTTTTATATATAAAAATCTGTTTGCTTAGGTGAAATTTAGTTAGATCTATTTTAGTCATTAAAAATAAAATAGAACTAGATAACATTTGTTTAAGTTTCATTAAGTAAAATATGTTTACCAAATACTTGTTCTTTTAACATTAATTTTTTGACTAATTTAATTTTGGTTATATTGTACATTAGATATTCATTGAATTTAGAAGTTGCAAATACATTGGATTGAGAAGTTGGTTGACTCACGTTTTTATTTTTCTTATTTTTAATGAAAATATATTTCTCATTCTTATCTATTGCTACATAAATTTACTTTTTTTATTGACGGTATCATTTTTTTTTATCGGAATACGATTATTTGGTCAGCATTTAAAATATATTAAGGATCTATTAGTTTTAGTTTTTTTATAAAAAAATATTTTAAAAATGTTTTTTATTTTTATTTTTCAAAATGATAAAAAAAATTTAACTTTGACATGTATGTAGTACAATAAATATACTTTATTAAAGATTATTTGTTTAGCTTTAAAAAATGTATTTTTTAAAATTATTTTTATTAAAATTTTCAAAATAACAAAACTTTTTAATTTATTTTTATAAAATAAAATAAATTAATTTTGACATGTAGTAAAATAAATATGCATTATTAAAAATTAAAATATAGTCAAAATAGAGGTAACTTTTCAAAAAGATATATCTCAAAAATTATTTTTGTAAAATGTTATTCAAAATAGCTTCATATTTAAATGATTTTTAAAATTTTTTAAGTCCAAAAAAAATTTAAGTAAAAAGATGAAATAGCTAAAATAATATTTAATGAAAAACTATTTAAACCAATTTTTAATTTAAACCAAAAACATGTAATACTATAAAAATTATTTTAAAAAAACTAAAACAAAGTGACCTTAAATACATTTCATAAGAAAAAGATGCTTATTCAACACACAAAACATATAATAACAACATATTTTTATTTTAAGTAAAGACTAATATTTACAAATCAACCACTTTTAAAAAGATTAATAATACTAATAATCTACAAATGACAATATATATATATATATATATATATATATATATATATATATATATATATATATATATATATATATATATATATATATATATATATATATATATATATATATATATATATATATATATATATATATATATATATATATATATATATATATATATAATTGACTTAATTATATTTTTTGATATTATTTATTTATCTGATTCTCGGAATTAGTTTCATGATTTCACACTCAAATAATTTTGACATTTATTTATCATTAGCAAATAATTTTAAACTCAAACTCAAATAATTTTTAATTAATAATTTGTTTTCTATTCTAGAACTGTAGTCTCGAAAACAAATATTTTATAAATTGACCCTGATTTTTTGTAATAAAATAAAATGATATTAATAATCATTTTACATCAATCACAAGAATATTTAACTATATAAGACTAAACTATATATAATTTATAAAAAATAATCAAAGTTTAACAAATTCATTGATACTACTAAATAGCCCATTTCAAAATTTTAAAAATAAAATCACGAGAAAATTTTTCATTCTATTTTATATGTTAAATAACCTGTGTAAAGATAATAAAATATAAATTATATGTAAATAACAAAGCTACCATTCCAATAAAATTACACTTAATTTTCAAAATAAATAATAATTATTTTGATTAATCTTTTTAATATTATAGATTCTATAAATTAATTATTAATTTTTATTTAATGTAATGTTCCTCTTTATGTTTTTAATTTTATATTAAATTTTAATCTTTCATTTTATAAAATATATTATAAAAAAAAATTAGATTTTTTTGGTCATATTCTAATGATTTTCGGCTCACATCTAAATAGGGGTGACAAAGTGGACGGTTCGTCCCGTTTAGGTTCAACCTGTTTAAGTTCATCCAAAAGTCGGGTGGGGCAGGACGAACTAACTTAAGCGTTCAAATTCAAAAGTCAAGCTGCCCTGTTTACTAACGAATTGGCGGGCTGGTCCACCAATTTTTTTTACAATTTGATTTACTACATAATTTATAAAATTGCTAATCATTACCAAAGAGACCGACAAATTTTAACAACGGATAATAAATCTTTAACTAGTCTTAATATAAATGTCATATTCTTCAACATAAAAAAAAATGTAACTATGATACAACCTAGTTAAGGACATCTAGGGACATAAATAAAAATAATAAATTATTACAAGCTAAACAAAAAGCAACTAAGAACCAATAACAAAAAATTAATTTTAAATACTCCATGACAAACACTTCATCAATAATCATCTATGTCGTGAACATGCGAAGCTTCGAATGATATCGTAGCCATTTGATAAAACCTTCCATCATCTCTCTCCTTGTCGTCACACACTATTTAATAATCATCAAGATCAACAACATCAAAATCAATAAATTTATCAATGGAAGCATCTCAAAAATAAAACAATCAAAGAAAAATCAAAGCTTCATTATTTAAAAATTATCAATACAAATAATAAGCACTTTGTTGAGCATTTTAGTGTTAAAAATAAATAAAATGAGAGCTCAAATAGAATAAAATACAAATAAAAACTTTATTATCATAATAAGAAACAAGCTCCTATGTGCAAAACTTACCTTATAGTTTTAGAACTCGCCTTCAATGACAATTAGTAATAGAAAATAGAAAAGAATGTATTATCTATGTTTTGCAATAAAGACTTTTTCTATTATGAGTGAAAATAAATAAAGAAGCAAAGATCAATTAATGTTTTTAAAATGAGGTGTTTGTGGTTATATGAAAAATGAACATTAAAATTTGAAAAAATGATGGTTGTTTTGTGTACTACAAACCACGTTAATATTATTTTAATTCCAAGTAAAAAAATAATTTTTTTAACAAAAAGCCTGTGGGCAAAATCTGCTCTGCCCTCGGCCCGTTTTAAAAGTGGGTTAGGCGGGGCAGGCCAACTTAAGACACTGAGGCGAAAACCCCGCTCCGGCCACCAAAAATAGTGGATTAAATGGGCGAGCCCGATGGGCCTAACTTGTTTTTCCACCTTCACATTCAAGATACAAATTTTAACTAGGATAAAGAAATATAATTGTCATACCCCAAATTTTTCCTACCCTTCATTCAAATCTTATGGCTTACGCATCTCATATTCCTCATGCACATACCCTACATTAGGTCATGCATTTAACATATCAAATCTTATGGCTTACGCATCTCATATTCCTCATGCACATACCCTACATTAGGTCATGCATTTAACATATCATTCACCATGTTTTGCATAGCATAATCATTGGGACAAAGGTTCGATAATAGAAGATTTTCAAGGGGGATCTTATTTGGTAGTTAATCGGGTTTATTTTTCATATTGATGCATATCATCTCTTTATTTGAGATTCATGGTTAGTTAGGAGATTCGACTGATTGTCACTCAATTCAGAAGTTTGCTTAAATTCAAAGAAAAAGGGCAAAGTTGGAATAAAAAGAAGATTTCATTCATTTATTGGAAATTCATGGTACAATGCTTATTACTTGAGATACAAGTTGAAAGAATGGATTATAAGGAAAGAGAATAAAAAATTACATCAATTTGGTAAAGTTGACCTTTTGGTCAACTGTTGACTTTTTGGCCATCTATTGGCTTTCGGTCAACTTTGACCATCGACTCGATTTTAATTCCCAAATTTTCCTAGACCACTCATCAAAAGCACTTAAGTCCATTGTTTGATTCATCAAAAAGGCATGGAAAAAGTGGCAAAAATCCAAAATAAAATCAAAGTAAATTCAAGTCAATTTCAAGTTCTAACTAAGTGACCATTCACCTTACCCGTAAACTTGGTATTTATGCTAAACTCAAACATGTCTTGCTTCTAACTACCTTTAACTACCTATTTTAA